CGTCAGGCCACATATGCGTCAGAAATGAGTAGTCCATCACTCAGCTGTCTCCGTTGCTCCATTGCTTCTGAACGGTGCCCCTTGTCCAGAGGATGGCCTTAGCTCCTCTTAGCAGTTAAGAAAGATGATACAATAAGCGTTACTTGCGAAATGGACCCTGTGAGCCGCGAATCGGTGGCAAAACTCATGTAAATAACTGCGATTCCGGCAACTTCAGGGTTTCGGAATTTGTATTACCACTTTTCGCCTCTGTTAGTCTGGTATGGTATTTCGTGTGGATTTGGAGAAGCTCATCTTCTGGACAGCTGTAGGCAGGATGGGTGGAGCCAAAGAAGCTCATGGAACCAAGTACGTGGTACTTGCGGCCACGTGTAAAGCATTCGTTCACATTAGCGGTTGACTGATTTGCACTTGTGAGTTCTCCACCGCCGGGATAGTCCTTTTGAGACAGTTTTACGACGGTAATCTAACCTACATATAGTATATACTTAACGTTATACTTAGCCTGCCTAGTTATTATCGTCGCTGACGTTTCCTTGTTCTTTATGATCATAGTGAAGCACAAAACGTAAGGTACTATACCTAGGGTACCATAGATCAGTATCTATGGCCAAAATAGAGGGACGATGTTTTCGTACACGATACCTATGAGAATGGCCAAGGAAGAGGCAGCATAAGATAATGGCCAGAGTGAGCATAGAGTAGCCGCGGCAATGTAACTACCCTCTGAGAAAGGCTCCCTCACTTCCCCTTGAATTCGTATATCGACAAATGATGCTGAACCCAGGTCCATCACTAACACTACGTCGACCTCCTTCCCTTTCCACCAGAGCAAATACTGTCCTTCAAGACATTCTCGACCTCGTTCACCCTGACCCTTGATTATTATTACGTAAATGTGAACTATACTCATAGTCGGCAACGATAGCCTCAAAATTGATGTCTACCACCGAATCCCGGCCGATGCAATCAAAATGTGCTTGAGATTTGAGATGAGTTTTCTGAAAAATTCTTTTTTTTCAAGAATAACTATGTAAATTATGTTGGGACGGAAGCGAATCCTGAGAGTGCTTTAACAACGCTCAAGCGGCATGCTCGCCACTGCTGTAGACCGGGATCGAATTCAGTTCAGGCTTTGAAATCCATAATTTCGGGGCCGAGAATTTGGTCTGGCTCGTTCAGGAGAAAAAAAAACCGCTAGACAGCACAATCAGTGCCTAGCAGGGGAATCACCCTTCGGTGGTGGAGGATGGTCGTGAAGGGATTAACCTTGAGAGGGGGTCGTATCGGGGCCCTCTAGAAGGGGGGGTCATAAAATTTTCGAAATTGGTCCAGCGTGACGGTTGACCCTGCTGCCTAGGCCGTAAGATTCAGGATGAAAATGAAAGCGTGGCGCATCCGGTAATGTGACTGATCACCTTATCCTCAATTTGAACTGATGAATATGCTCTGGAACTCAATGTGAAATTTACGTGCACTGCTACAGCGTGAATTTTTCCATAGAAAGAATGCCTGTAACCGTAATGGTGCGCTCTGAACAAATGGCGTAACTTTTCCCGAGTTAATTTTCTGTCGTCCTTTCCCAACGCGTTTAAAATATACATACGTTTTGCCGCGAACACCGATGCGAATATGAATTTGGAGTCAAAAAGCAAGGTCTCTGTAGTTTTGGTGGTTTTTGTCCCCAATTTTCGGTGTTTCATGTGAACTTCAGCAATCCTATGAATGATGTCAATTCGGAAATGAACCGGACATTGTCCAGGAGATTGCTGTAGGTCATCGGTACCAATGAAGATGTGCCACTGATTGAAGTTGCTTTTTCTAAATGAATGTCACATTCGCTTCAAAAGTGCGCCAGTTCGAGCGCAGGTGCTAGTCTCGTCGCGCTCACATTCTTTACTCCCACAGTGCAACCTCCTAACTTGTCACCTCCGCAATCAAGCTCTAGACCCGTATTATAATCAATAGACCTCATTTTAAAGGCAGAATTCACGATGAAAAGTTAGCTCATTGGAAATAAGGGTAGAGGTGGTCAGTGGAGCAGGGATGAAGAAGAAACCATTTGAAACGGCCCGAAACCCGAGAAATGGGACCCCTTCCTTGCCCGTTGATTTGCGCATTGATGGGACTCTCATCGCTGTAGCCACGCATACGCCTGCGGCGAGTGATTAGATAGTCGGTGGGCGTGTCCCGCCAACGCGCCAAGAGTGAGCCATGCTAGATCGCCGAGGTCAAATCTTTCGCTGCCAATTGCGCGTCGGTCAGCACCCTCAGGAGGTCCGCCTGTCTCCCAACCAGGGTCACCGTCACGGTTCGAAGCATTTTCGGATGTATTGTTTGGCGACGCCCACTCCCTCACTTAAGGGGTCCAGCTCTGCGACCGACACAAATATAACATTTGCGAGCGACCACCCAATACAACCAGCCTCCAACATAACGCGACCACCTCTCCTCTTCTATAAGTATGATTCATGAGACAGTTGCCGCCCAAAGACGACTCTCTAGAAACTCGCGCGAAAAACGTGTAAATGTTCCACCAACTTTTTCGCTGCAACAAATAGCCGTCTAAGCGGGGGGGGGTGGATATACAACCAGGATGAGCCGGCAACTTTTTCAACACCCCTGCTGCCACTGCCTGATTGATGCGAACCAAGCTATCCATGCGACCCAACCACCCCACCTCTCGCCCCCCCAAATGCTCCCAAAGCCAATGGCAATTTTCGCTCTTCTTGACCTTTTGTCCTTATCGTGGATTCTTCCTTTAATGGAACAAAGCAGCGCTGCTTCTTTAAGGCAAAGTCCGGGATCGAATTGGTGTCCCAATACGTTTCATAGCACTGTGGATGCGGTGTGCAACGCCAGTAAGGAAACATGGGAAGAAACGGTCAACAAATCCGCGAAAATATAAATCTCGCATTTTCTAGTCAGGCAGCCGAAGCGAAATATCATCGACTGCAGGCGGAACCGTGCCAGGTCGGGCGTAAGCTCATATGGTCCATACCCTGCGGGCCTTACATTACGTCTCGATCCTTTATTGAGTCTTGGGCGTCAAAGGTGCTGCTTCAGCGTTGGCCTTCTCATTATACTAAAGCATGTCCATTTTGGACTTTCATTTCAGAAAGTCCGTACTTTTCCTTCGATTGAAGTTTTCCGTTCACACAATTCACGCGCGGACCGTATGTATCATACATGCGAGTCATCGGCTGGATCTCGATCCGAGGCGGAACCAATGCACAAGGGCTCGGCATGAGGACGAAGCCGGGTGGTAGCGTTCGTGTGGAGCAAGGCATGCATCTAACGAACCCCCCCGTCTGTGCTCGCACCGTCCCTTCCGCGACCAGGCCGCGACCCACGCAAACTTGAATGGCGCACTTGACGGCGGCTATGCCGCAGTCCGAAAGAAGAAATTGTATGGCGCACGGTAATGCCACCGCTACAGTAAAAATGGTAGAAGTTTGTGAAGTACCAATAATGTCTTCATAAAGCGTTTGTCCAACCTGCTACATGGAGAAATGAATTCGTTTCTTCCTCCTTCAATTGGACAGGAGGGCAGCGCAAGGCGGGGCTTCAAGCTTAAATGTTCCTTTCCTGCCCAAGAACACGTTTTGATCAGAGATCAATTGTTCATGTTGTTATTAGTATTCTTATTGAACCCATACTGAATGATCAGTTCACTGTAAGATTCCTCTTCACAGATTCTCTTGTACAAAATCATCTCATAGCTAACATAGAACCTCCTTTAAAATCATTTTACCTACCAGGTAGTCAATTTGAATGAGCGCTCGAGAGTATAAGGCATTGTACGTTGATTACACCTACTACAGAGTGCGCCACACATTTGCTTTTCGTCCAGAATCGTAGTAGAATTTGAATGAGATTCGGCCTATGCAGAGACTTGTTGGTGCGGCCGTCAATCGAAATGAAGGTTTTCATTCTTCCAGACGGGTCTGACACTACAGCGTACTCTGGAGGTAGGGGAAGTTTGGTGTACCTGGGCGAGATCCGATCCATTATCTGGCCCCAGGCCCGCGCATGTGACAAGAGGCGACACTTCACTGCAATTCCTCGGTTCTTGGTTGTGACAATTCAGATAAAAAGCGGTAAAGGCTGCACTTCATTTGCTAGACTGACGGGGTCTTGCCCCCACCAACCAGCTTTGACCACTTTTCTACAAATCATTTATGTAACCCAATAGAGCCTCGCTGCGAACCTCGGCCACTGCTCCGCTGTACCGCGCCGAAATTGCCTTTTTCAATTGCATTTCAGTTGAGCAGAGATCAGCCCATTAATGACGTTATAGGGTAATTTGCCGCCATATGCTCGGAGCTTCTTAACGTATTCCCAACGTAAATCAGCCATATGCGTCTGTAATGCAATCAGTCCGGTGTGTTCGTTCGGCACTAATGAATAATGTAGTTATTGATCGGTTCCGATAGAACATCTGCCGAAACCATCTGAATTTCAGCGACTGCTTGGTCTTTTTATGGCCACTCATCTGGCCTTCGTTAGACACTTTCGTAGTGAATAGCCTGGTGATACCGCCCAGCCCCTATATGTCTGCTTATCCTGAAAGCCATGCTTGGAAGAGTCCCTGTGAATCAAATGTTTATTGATCGATTCGAGCTTCCAGACATGTACGAAAAGTGGCCTAAGTTCAGAATAGTTCGGTAATAAAGTGGTCTAGGAATAACCCAGAGTTTGTTTCTTCTACAGATATAATATGGAACTGCGAGGAATTGTACCGATTTTTTTTCCAAATTCAGTCACGGCTTACGATTTTCGATTTCCGTTTTCTGTCGAAACAAAATTTCAGGGGAGCAAATTTTCATTTGTCTCTGCTCATCGGAAGTTTTTACTAACCGTTCGGCTTGATAGCATTCACAGCTTTTTCTCGAAGATATTAATATTCATAAGTTATTGATTGATTTCGCCGTGTGTTTAGTCTCGTCAACGCGCCTTCATTGAACAGTACTGATCGGTCATTTGTTTCAGAATGTCCTATGTTTGATTTCGGCGGCTCCCCGGTATTCATCTTCGTACCGTTCATAGCGTTCTCTGTCATATTCCTACTCATCATTCTACTGAAGTCATGCGTCGTAATGGGGTAACCGATTATCTTTCCTTTTTTACTTTTTTCTTTGCTTGTTTTTGATTTCGAATATTTTTTTTGAAAGGACTGATAAATTACTTATTAATGTTTTCTTCAAGGGCATCACATGTAATCTTTCGCGAAATAAAAAGTCCGGTTGTCCTCTTCAAAGTGAGGAAGCCATCATTGAACCAGAAGGGCTGAATTCCATTCTTCAGGCAACTGTGCAATCTCAGACCTAGCACACTAATGCTTCTTGAATCGACAGCGCTTTTTGTGATGTCAAGAGTCGGGGGGGCGGCATGGTTTATGCGGATTGAGCTTGAACACACACCGTTCCCTTGTTAGTCTCCCTCCCTCTGTGATGGAGCCCCTACGAAGGAGAAAGATGATTAGCAATTGTTTCCCTGTGCCCCCCCCTCCAGTCCCGTAGACGATTTACTAGCGCCAACGACATTCATTCCAATGACTCCCGCGTTCCCTTGTCTTTTATTCTTTGTTCATCATTACCACTCTTGATCCAAGCACCAAAGTTAGAGTCCACGCTTACTATTATTCTTGGAATATGGTTGAAGGGGGGAGCATAAGGTGCATGGGACGATGCCACCTCCGCAGCAATAGCAATGGTGTCGATTCTTCTGAGGTTTTGCTTCCCTCACAATCTTTTACTTACTTACCTTGTGCGTCCATAGGACGACCAGCGATGTTTTTTTACGGCACTTTCTCACCTTCCGTCAACGTTTGCTTACGTATTGTGGGAAAGATTTAAGGGCGCATTCCTCAATTACCTGATCGAAACAAGTCCCCCCACCTGTGAGTAAAGAAAAGTTGGTGGGAGCAAGGGCGCTGTGGTTAGCGTCGCTAGCAATGACCGATCTCTCACTGCAGCCTCGGCTCAGAAACGCGTATTCTTGGTATCTTCTCTCCTTCCCCTTCCTCCACCTGTTACCTACAGCTTCGTATTCCAAGACATCTACCGACCCCTGTATCTTGTAATGCCCCTCGAATTTATTCCACAAGTTCCCTGAAAACGGAGAAATTCACTGTGACCGCGCCTCCAGTTCCCGATTGACGAATCGGGAACATCTGCGCTAGAACGTCGTACAAGGTTATCTGGTTGACCATATACGATTGCGGTACCATAACGCTCTCTATTTCGTTTCCTTTACCAAAAAAATGAAAAAAAAATAAAATTTAAAAAAAAAAAAAAAAAAAAAAAAAAAAAAAAAAAAAAAAAAAAAAAAAAAAAAAAAAAAAAAAAAAAAAAAAAAAAAAAAAAAAAAAAAAAAAAAAAAAAAAAAACAGTGGATAAGATCGTGCTGTGAATGAAGGCGCAAAAGTACTACCTTCGGGCTCGAAAGTTGAAAGGCGTTGGGATCTTCCAGGATACCTCCCAAAATGTTTCTACTCCCACTTCCGAAAACATCCGTTTGCAAATTCCGCCTGAAGCCTTCTTATTTGCCACATGCAATCCAGCTCCTGCCTTTACTCCCATATTAGAGCGGAACTACTGCTCCACTTTGATATGAAGTGTACCTTTAAGTTTGACGTGGCGATACCACCTAGTGCCAAAATCCCTAAGATACACAGGAGTGAATTCATTAGAAACATGAAACTTGTGGCTCGCCCTGAAAGTTTTTGTATAGTGCAAATTACATTCAGAATGCCTTTATCATCTGAAAGAAAGTAAAATGATGCATCTCAAAGAGGATCGACAAACGCTAACTCTTGAAAATGTAGTTGCTAAGCTTCCAACCAAGATTGATAATAACTTTTATTAGGCCGACGTTTCGGTGCTTTCACCTTCTTCAGAGCCTGGAAAAGTCGAAAGCTATTTAGGAAACTACCCGTCCAAACACTATTTCAACCTACAAGATTCATTCAACAGGGTGTAAACTACTAAGGCGATGTCATGGAGGGAGATGAGAACGAACCTTTAGAGATGCTGGCCAGAGAGGTCCACCTGCCACCCCGAGCTGGTACTAACGCGGCTTAAGTAGGCTAACGCTTGATCTTTGTAAACGTGTCTCCCAAACTTTCACAAAACTGAACAGTTGTTTTACTTATTTTTTTGTCCATACGATTGGAAGCAGCACTGCTTACCCACTCCAAAGCATAGCCATAAAGAGTGGGCCGGAGATGTAAATATACACAATCAAACACGTCAAAAGTTTCGAGATATTTTTGCAAAACTTCGCTGGTATCTTCTGAGGGCTTTGTGTGAATTTCTGTAATGCTTCAATAATCTTGATGGTTCCCAAAATTTTTCTCCATATAGACGTCGCCATCCTAGCTGAACCCTCTTCCGGAGATTTTCCAAAAATTAAATCATTGATTTCATCGAAACAGCGCTCTTTTCTCTCACGGAGCAGATTGTAACAAGAATATCGCAAAAGACAAACGCGATGAAGAAGGGGATACTTCGTCAGCAGCTCCCATTGCAACCTTCCCCATCAACCGCAAATGATGTGGAAATCAGAGTGCCTCTCTCGTACGGTGTGCATTTCTAGACGTATTTTTGTCTTTAACCTGGTCGCTTAGTTTCCCTCCGTCGTTACCACATTCCGACCTTACCGGGAAGTTAAGGCCCTTCAAATTTATCACCTCGATAGCTCCTCTTGCTTTCATTGCACTTTCGGTTTACCCGTGGCTCATGTATCACAATAACCGCACCATCTCTGATTCTCTAAACCAATTCACAATTTGTAAAGTCTGTCCTCCTCCTTTTCTTTCGTTAACCCGTTTAGCTGACTCCCTTCTCTCGCCTGGCTTACAGTGACGTATAGCTTTAGCCTTGAGTGGTTGTTCAAGATCACTAGTGGATATTACTGGTAGAAATGAAGATAAAATTATACAATCGACCCTGTTGGAGCAGCTACCTTGGGATTGGACCAGTAGCTAAGCTAAACCTCGTCTTATCCTTGCTGTACTGATTCGTGTAGTGCTTCGGTAGGTAAACATCATTCGATGAAGCGCACAACATTTTTCTTCTGCCGGAGCCCTTTATGTTACTACCCACTGATTCGAGCTGGTGTTAGGACCACAAGTGCAGAGTTCACACAAGGGCTGGGGAGTCACGATTTGCAACAGACATAGACAACGTATTTACTTAAACAATAGGTTGAGTAGTTCATCAAATGAATGATTTTGAGACTCGATGAGCTGATTGGCTCATTGTTATAATATGGATGTTTCAGTCGTTCTGATTTGCAACGCGGTTGGGCAACACAAGCACGGCGTGTCCGACGTCCAATGAACTCGCAGTCGACGGCATCCGTCGAGATCCAGACGAGTCAACATCCGGTGCCGTTCATTCCGCCTCCAGGTTAGTCAATGACTCGGTTTCTCGTCGATTACCATTAGCGCTCCTGATAATCAGTTTGCGATCTCTGGCCAACGTTTCGATTGCAGGTTACTACTCGGAAGTGATGGCTACCGACTCTTCCGCTATGTATCCGATGTATGTACCACCGTATGCCATGAATAGCACTCCGCCGCTGTCAATGCGGGATCCGCGACGCTTCCAGGTAAGTCCTAGAGCTAATTCAGCCCTTCTTACATCATCTCAGTTATAAATTGAATTAAAGAGGCGGCAAATAGGTGGACGTTGTGCCTGCAGTTCTCTAATTAGAGCAAGTGCAAGCACATCAGATATGGGCTATAGCGAAAGGGCATGTGAAGCTTTGGGACAGACGCTGCCTTCTGTCCACAGAGAATGATTTGCTGAGGATAATGGAAAACTCGTGAACGCTAAGCCGATTTTTCTTATGTGACTGTCTTAAAGGCGATATAGCTTAACGTAGGTGACATTCAGAATGGGTATACCATACCGCATTACACAACACCATCTCCGAATAACTTTCACCTAGCTCGTTAAATCTTAACATTCTTATAACAATGTCAATATCGAAGGATTTCGTAGGTTTGCTACCTCAAGTGTTTCTTACGAGGGGAGGTCGTTCAGGGCGTGGAGCGCTTTTTGAAAACGGTTTTTTGCATGAAATAGGGGCAGGTGCAGTGAACACAGATCTATGGTCCATTTCCGCTAAATGGCCTTCTGAATGCCAAAAAAGGAGTGAAAATCATTTTGTTGGAAACTGCAGTTTTTACTTGTTAAAAACGTGGTGTGTTTCATTCATGGCGTCAACTATAGGCATAGTAAAAGGTCGTAGTGAACTGTGCATCGAAAATAACGTGAGGTTTAGCCAAAAATGGATCCTTGTCATGCTACATGCTACGGAGTGTGCGGGAGATTCATAACAGCTATCTGCAGCTTGTCGGCAGCGACGGATGGCTTAGCGGATAGTGCTGTGGACTGGAGTTGGCACGAGTGGACTGGGTTGGTGGTTCGGATCCTCCGCGCGCGGAATTTTTGCATTTTATGCTGGCACCTCCATCTTGGCTCCAAACTGCACCAGTGCCAAAATGAGTGTCTGACTGGTCATTGTTTGTCAAGCGACGGTTTCAACGGAGGTGAAATTGTCGGCGGTTGCCAAGGAGATCGGCAGCTGCTCTTCCTTGGCATTCGTCAAGTGCAGCTGGTGCGGCAAACAGCTATGTTTCACTTGCTTTATAGAGTTGTACCACACGTGTTAATAATCTGTTTGCAATAAATGGAAAATTTTACACATCGAGCAAATCCTAAATGATCCCGTGGTCTGCTCTGCGAGGGTTGTCCACGCTGATCACAAATACGAATAGTTGCTGGTGTCATTTATTCTCATTCTAGAGATACAATTTTCTAGCCAGTTTTCAGTGAAAACCTAGCGCACGGGGTCATTGCTGCTCCTGGTCACGACAATGACCAGTCAGACACTCATTTTGGCACTGGTGCAGTTTGGAGCCAAGATGGAGGTGCCAGCATAAAATGCAAAAAATTTTCGCGCGCGGAGGATCCGAACCACCAACCCAGTCCACTCGTGCCAACTCCAGTCCACAGCACTATCCGCTAAGCCATCCGTCGCTGCCGACATCCAAGCTGCAGATAGCTGTTATGAATCTCCCGCACACTCCGTAGCATGTAGCATGACAAGGATCCATTTTTGGCTAAACCTCACGTTATTTTCGATGCACAGTTCACTACGACCTTTTACTATGCCTATAGTTGACGCCATGAATGAAACACACCACGTTTAACAAGTAAAAACTGCAGTTTCCAACAAAATGATTTTCACTCCTTTTTGGCATTCAGAAGGCCATTTAGCGGAAATGGACCATAGATCTGTGTTCACTGCACCTGCCCCTATTTCATGCAAAAAACCGTTTTCAAAAAGCGCTCCACGCCCTGAACGACCTCCCCTCGTTAGCAACTGCTAAAATGTACAACTCCGGATAAGGATTGTGTAATTTCCAGTTTTATAATGCTGCGAATGTCGGGCCCAATGCGTTCATGGTCCGTTTCATTTGATTAGTAGGAGTTTTGTGATACCGCAACAGTAGTTACCTAGTCAAACACATAACCTAGCTGCGCCCCAACAAAGGCCCAAAAGTTCCTGAGCAGTTTCTTTCAACACCCCGCAGACAATAACGGATTCTCACACAGCAGGTTCCAAGTGGATCGGCAGTGGAGAAAAAGAAAACGAAGGACGCCTCCGGTAATGTCGGCAAGAGTATCTTTGTGCAGATGATTTTGAAGGCTGTGTGAGATTGATTTGTTAGAACTCATCATCGATCGTTCGTCTTCCAACGAGGGGGCATATGGGACTCATGAATGGGAACATCGTGTATGGGTTTTTCGGGAAGTCGAGGATTGCAGATGAGCGGAGGGTGCCTTCAAACGCTTTCTAGCATCAACGGTGGCAAATTCAGCCATCAAAGCGGAATCACTTCCTTTTGTACGTACAAAGCTGTCCGCTATGCTCAAGAAGAAATCACTCAGAGTAGCTGCCCGCGGTTGGTGCATCGCGAGCTTACTAAATAGCTCATTCTTTTCAATGTTTAGTGTCGTGCTCGGGATGTACTAACACTTTCCAACACTCGTGGCATCAGGTAGCTAAAGTAGGGGAACTTAGTTACATGGGCCACTGATTCTGCAATTACGCCACCTCGAGTCACGAAAGAAACACCTTCTTCATTCAATTCAATTCATCGGCACCAAAATTCACGTCATAGAGATATAAACTTTATTGAGGGAGTTATCTAAAGATTGAATGGATGAATGAGACAGATGCTCCACAGAATCTTCTCGCCTTTTGCTATAAATGAACAAATAGCAATTAATCAAAACAGTAATCAAATCGCAACTATTTCAGGGTCTTCCCGGTCTGCAAGCACCACCACCATATCCGCCTCCACCTAGCTATAGCCAAATTCAAAACTTTCCCGAGCTACCGACGGTCAGTAACGCTCGGCTCGACAATCGCACACCGTCGCGAAATGGAAAGAAATCCGAGATCACTCCTGTTGAATAGTATCTGGGTTACTTAGAAGTTACTGCTTGACTGTTCCTCCTCACATTCTTTGATTCTCTAAACTCACTCAATTGGATTCAGATATAATGGTTAGTTGTATCCATATCATACTGTGGTATGGAACCTAATGAGACAAAGTTAGCTGACATCTTATGGTTAGATGACGAAGTAGCCCAGGAATCAATCTTACTTATTAAGAAACCTTTTCACGGGTAACTTTGCTGATCGATTTTTGGCTATGGAAACCTGTTTTTGTAATCATATAAGCATTTTCTTTATTGAAAGAACTTGCTCGATGTGACACGTGCGGTCGCGTTGCAGTTCGTCATGAGCAATTTGCTGCAGGACCGTTTTTTTCTATCAAACCGATGATTTCAGACTGTCAATGAAAGTACGACAACTGTTTTGATTCACTGTTCGCAATTCATCTTCATGTTGAATCTTTCCTTCACTGAATTATATTGTGTATGAGATGCCAAATATTGATTTGCTCTGGAGTTGCGTTATTGATTCTCATCGATTTTCTTTCGCATATCTGTTTTTTGATAATTCACGGGTCTACTACAATAAATGAAATATGAGCAGTTATCTTGTTGTCCTTCCAGAAAAGTTTTTGACCTCTCAGAAGAGCAGGTATGCAGCCCTGAAACAGTACAGATTAGGCAGTACATTGAACAGAGGTCTCCTTGTATCACTTGCGCAATGGGTACCCGACAGGAGGCCCGTCGCGGCAACAAGGCAGAGTCAGCGGACGAATTGCAAGTTACTCACAGTGTGAATTCGCCGTCAAGTTTGAATGCATGTAGCCACTGTACGCCACTACAATCGCACATCAGGCGTTGCAACTCGTCACGCCCGACTCTGCCTCTTGCCCGCGACGGCGTCCTTGCGCGCGACGGGCCGGTCCTGTGATCTAGTACCCCTTGCACGGTTCACATCCTCTTGATTTCCGACCCCATCTTCATAGCTGTGATCGGAGGTGGATGTACCGAGGAACGTCTTGCAGCAACAACTCCATACCAAGGTAAGGTAACAGCGGTCAAAAAACTCATATGTTGTGTTGGTCTAGTTGTACAGCCCAAAGTTCTCAGTTACCAACTTTCGCCTCCATAATTTCCTTCTTCTGCCTCCACAATATCCAAGTTCTATCTCCGTGACTGGAAGACGTGGGGCGTGGGGGAGGGGTTGAAGGCGTAATCCTGGTTATGTATGCGAATGTAAGTATTATTGTTCTTGAGGTGAAGCAGGTGATATTTCGAATGTATGACGTTTCTTTATCGATTTAGGTTGTCCCTAATCCCATTCAGTTGCCATCGCGCTGATTTTTCACCACCAGAGCCTCGCACTCCCTTTGTAAGCAACATGTTATGTGCGCCATTTTCATATTTGTCCAACTCTCATGGATTAATTTTGAAATTTGCAAACCAATAATCTGAGGGAGGTGCAGAGGCAGGTAATGAAATATTCGCGGGCATGCCACTTGGTATAAACCCACTCAATCTTGCCCATACTATTAGGTTTTTTGTCTGCTGTCAGTATCGCATACATACGAGAATGGTGTGGGAAAATCGCGAATACGAACTAATACTGGACCACTCGGGTCATTTCTCCGCACAATCAAAAGTTATGGCTCCAAAGTTCTTGACGCCTTTTCGTGAAATCCTTTTTTGTAATGCGCCATGCATTTTGCTCCAATTCGGAAACCGCAACCACTTAATTGAGCAGTTGCCTTGATTTTTACAGAGTTGTATTTAAATGTGGCAAGGCCACACGGCTAACAGCTGAGCCATCCGATATAAGGTAGTGTTTTTGTTTTCCTAGACGAATTTGATTACCTTATTGACAGCTGCAGAGAGATTTCGAGACTTGGTTGGAATGAACGGAATTTGAGCCGGAATTCATCCACTGGATAGGGGCGTTAGAAAGGTGGTGGCACTCTCCTATACATCTTCTCCAAGCACACATAAAAACCATTATGATTAGGAATGGCTGAAAGGCTGGCCGTACGGAAGTGGTTGGTATGCAGCATGCATGGCTCCCATCCAGAATCCTAGAAGAATTTTAATGCAAGTCTGCATAGACAAGCCGTTTCGCCTTTCAAGGCAGGTATAGGTGCAATTAACCTACGCCGAAGGCTGTTTGGTTATAGGATGCAAATCATAACCCGACGACGTGATGCAATGACCCGGTGCGAAAGATCGTTCCTAGCTTTTCCCTACAAACAGTAGCTCCACTGAGCTACTGCAAACTATAGAACGGACATAAGTAAGCCGTGCACGAGAGACCATTTTATGATCAACTACTATTATACTCCCATCACTCTGAATGCACCTCACTCTTGTTTATCTCTATCAGAACATTTTCGTAAGGATCGCCTGACATGGGGCTGAGTAGTACTACTTGTGGACTACGGTGCTTGCAAGTCGGTTTAGTTTGCAAGTACTCTCCATTATGGCGAAGACGTGGTGAGTTGTTGGTTTGGAGAAATTCTCAACGTCAAAGGCTAAGATCACAGGACGAGTTCCATTCCGATTTCAGTTCCAAGGATCTCGTTACGCCTTTCCTTATAAAAATGTTAGGGCGAATGCAGGTGCTAAGTACAAACCTGAAATGCGAAAAGCAGAACGATGGTAACTACCTTTATGAATATACAGTCCAAGTGCATCCACAAGAGGAAGACGAAGGACTCGCAGGTATAAATTCAACATACCACTCTTAAATACAAATTTGGTTAAAACGAGTTTACCAGCATTTTAGCTGCAGGGGCGTTATGCTGAATGTTGGGGTGGGACTGGGGTCCCGACGGCTCGACCGTGCTACTTCTACGTGCGTTCGGGTACGCTCGTAGGAGAGTAATAACAAAGTGGGTTGCAAGCGGCGAAGCGCAGGTCCGTCCTCTCTCCAAGGCTTAGTCCTGAGGTAAGCAAACCAGCCCTTCTGGCGGAGCTGCTGGACCAGCTGCACCACTTGCGTCATTACTCTCCTACCGTACGACCGAGTTGAAAGTAGTCCGTCGACCGTCGGGGACCCCATCCCCTCCCAACATTCAGCATACCGCCCCAGCAGAAACGCCAAAAGGGCTGGTTTGCTTACCTCTCAGAGGGCTTGCGCATGTCGCCTCATCAGCTGGTACGGCAAACAGACAGTACCAGTCATGAGGTTGCTCACTCTTGCCTCATGTGAAGTAGCCGACTGTGGGGCGTTTGCTTCTGCAAACCAAACGCTCACCATACGGCAAAGCCGAGTGCGACCTAACAGGACACATCCAGCACCAAGGATTGATGAAGTAAGTGGATTGCGAAGGATGCGAATTGGTACGGTCGTTTGAGAAAAAAGGAAGGAACAAGGACCGTGAAAACGCTGTAGACGCAAGCCCCCTTGGTCCACACTGTGGAGGAGTTCAGAGGTCGGAGAGGCGAGATAGAGCGAGACGCTGAGCGCCGAGGAGAGGGAGAATAGATTTGGTGCGAAACGAGTATGGCAGATCGACAGTGATTCGATACACACGAGATACCGCCACTGGGGTGCACGCATCCACACGAGGATTCAGTTTTTATCGCTAGGCCTCTTAATAACGCATTTCAAGGAAGCAAAGTGGCTGTAGTTGACCCCTACGACGAAACCGCAAGGGGATTTCCTTATGAACCTGACATGCCTTTCACTGCGCGGGGGTGCGGGCGCTGCCCCTTTACCGCGTGTGGTGGCTTATGGGCTTGGAGACCCATCTTTCTCACACTGAGGGAGACGTTCTCTTTGCACCTGACCCCGACCTTGTGCTCAAGTAAATTGCCGTGTGTCCTCGTGCGCAAAATTATTGCTGAAGATTCAAAAAATTATGCATGTGTTCTTGGCGATATTTATCTTCAGCGTTGCTCCGCTCGGAGTCGCGGTCGTCTATCGGCTATCGGACCAGCTCAGACTACACCTCATCACTCAACTACTCCGACTTCTCGGCCAATAAACCAGTATGATATCACTCTTACAGCTAGTAATTTCGTGCAAAGGGATTCAGTGAGGGGTTTATTTATGAGGTCTTGTCCAATGATAAATTTGTCAGGTTTTACCACGGTAGATGTAGAAGGGGGTAACTTGGTTGAGAAGTTCTCAAAGGATATAGGGCTATTCGAAGTTGATCAGGTTCACTTTGCCACCGCCACACATTCTGTTATACTGCCACTACTAGTTACAGTGGCATTCGGGGAAGAACCTGACTCCTCGGAGATTAGCCAAATAAGAGCAGTGACCATATCCTATTTCGAAGAATTTTGCGGTAGTCAACCGGTCAAGGAGAAGTGGGAAGATGTCTGGCTGACTTAGATGGGATTCACGCCTGCATTTGCCGCGCAGCCTAGCCCATGGAATCCAGTGCCGTTTCTGCAATTACAACTACGCTACCTTTGCTCTAAAGAGGGAACTCGGTAAATGGCGAAATCCAGTGAAGAATTTGCGTGCTAGAAGGAAGGGGTTAGTGTATCCCTCTGCGTTCTTGCTTGCCAAAATGTGGCACTGCTGGCTGATGAATACCAGTGGTTATACGATTTATGGTCTTATCTACGGCAAGGATTCAGCGACTAAATTGATGTTGGTAGTTCTAGCCGAATGTAAAAGTAGGGATGCGAAATGAACCGCAAGTGGATAAAAAGCGCGTATAGGGTGAAGGAGTCCGAGTAGAGAGCCATAGCAGGGCGTGTATGCTATCCTCCCCCAAGGGGTAAGGGATGAGAAAACCCCTTCAGATTTCCTCTGTTTTCCCAACAGGATTGCCTTGATAAAGGGGATTAAATGATAAAGGATAAAGCATTTGCCGTTGATCAATCCCTTTTTGGGATGCGGCACGCATTCTACTTCCATTTGTACATTCGTAGTGGCGTTTGAATGCGATGTGGCCTATACAATGACTTGCGGGGGCCAGCCGATGTACAAGTCAGTGTTTTTATCCCAGACAAGTCTGGTACCAATTAACCGACCCCGGAGGGATGGAAGGCTTGGTTGGCCCGGGC